ATTTTGTAAAAATATTTCTGTAACTTTGCCGTAGTTCCAGACATAGCGAAGTAATCGTAGATTGATTATTTTTTTATTGTTATCATTTCAGATTGCTAGGAGAGTTAAAATCGTGGGTATGGTCACGCAACATATTTTTAAGATGTCCCATTCCATCAGCTGATAACTAACGAAGATTAATATTTTTACATTTTTATTTTTTTGTATGCTTCTAATGTGATCAAATAATGTAAAAAATTTCAAATAAAAATATTGCTTATTTTTTTACAGCCCTTTAAAAACTACTTAACAATCCTGTCACTCGACAAGAATACCTCCTTAATAGTTTGATATCGTAAGGATAAATGAATTATTACATCATGGTTACTATATTTAAACAAATTAGCTTTTAAAAATTTTTAATTTGGTTTTAATTTCTTTACTAGATATATTGAAATAAGTGGCAATTGTTGTCGTGCTGGTTAAATTGTAAGTAAAAGCAAGATAGAAATTTAGCTTTCAACAATTACATTCATAGACACGTGTATATTAAAGTTAGATTAATAATCGACTCATCATTCTTCCCAATCAAGCATGTTGGAGTAAAGAGGCTAAATAACCACTTTAGAAGGACCGATTTTTTGGCGAGAATGGGCAAATAGTTTGAATTGATGAATTTATGAAAATGATAAATAAATAAATAAGCTAATATTGCAAAAAAATGCCACCGCAATTCGTTGAAAATAAAATATTGCATTTCAATGTGATTTAATCCAGTAACGCAATCTTGTTTAATAGAGAAAGCCATGGAACTGAAGAAAGCATTACAAATCAAAGACAAACCAAAAGGCTTACCTAAACCTGTTAACCTATTAGCAGACATTGATGTTGAGAGTTGCAACCAACTGCTTGACCACTTCAAAAAACCAAAAAAACTCTCCAGAACAAATGCGCTCACTGGCTCTTGTGACAATCAATGTCAACTATCCTGTAGATCAATGGCTCGAGTCCTTCACTGATGGATCATAAATAGAAAACCAAGTAAACCTTAAACAGAAGCAAAGTGCTACCCAAAACAGCTAAGATATCATAATGCAAAATCTCTATCCGTTGATGAAGGAAAAATAAAGCAGTGATCCTACAGTGGATTCCCGATCATTGAGGCATAAAAAGCAATGAGCTTGCTGACTCACTTGCTAAGAAAATGACAACAATTTTTCAAGGCATAGACGGTCGATGTTTTCCACACAATGAAGACCTTAATCAGGAGAGAATTCAAGAACTCAATGTACAACAAACCTAAAGCTTGAACAAAGGAGAAAGAGTAGCCAGTAGCACTCTCTGGGATAACCAAGTGGCCAAGAATTGAAGCCGTAGCTGAGTTTTGACACGATTGCTTGTCACAGAACCTTCATAGATTAGGAGAAAACACTCAATTAGCATGTACCTCTATGTACCCTTACAGGGGGAAATTTAGAAGACCAATCAGATTCAATGTTCAGGTATAAAGATAATGACGAAACACAGAGATACTGGGAAAACACAAGTCAGCTAATGAACGGCTATATATGTACCTTCGTACCCATGGGGAAAGCTGAAATCAACTAAGTGGGTAATGGTAAATATCATAAAGCCTGAAATTTGAGCTAATAATAATATATTTCGTTTCATTATTATGTTTTGAAATTTGTTATGTTGTTACCAAACCAGACCCAATAACGAGGGGAATTCTGAAGTAAATACAAAATGCACTTCCACTACTTATTCATTGAAGTATAAATGAATATCAAATAATTAAAAATATACCCAATCCCCTCTTTTTTTATTCAAGTGGCTAAATTTTGAAGCGATGCTTGGGTATTGGAAAATCGATTAAACTATTAAAATGAGCTTACTATTTTGACTAACATTGACTAGCTCTAATCGCACATTATACTTCAAGTCATGATTTTAGGAGCATGATTGTTGGTGGCAACGGTATTTGATCCATTTCGCATTAATCTCAGGAGTGCAGCCTTGAAATTAATCGGCTGCCGAATAGTCACCCAATGAAATGTTGTCACTCAAAGGCATTACGAGGGTTTAGGATAGTTTCGCTTGAAGCTGTTTGTATGTGAGTTTCATTTCAATGACTACGTGAGATAAGTTTCAATGGTGTTAGTGAATTCCAACTTCTTATTTCAAAGGCACTTTCTTGAATAATCAATTATTCCATTTGACACGAGTCAATAAAATCAAGTTAGCCAAGAAACCTTTCCGCCTAGTGTGTGAAAGTGTTTAAATAATTCGGATCGTGAAGTTAAGTCTATCGCGCACATTATGAAAAAAACCTAATGTCGAAAATATTTTTCGACGTTCGTTTTATTTCTAAAGTTCTCAACGTTTGAAGAATATTAAACTTGTATAATGGAAAACCACGATTATATCATTACACTTAGTTGAGTGAAGGATGAGTTAGAAGGTAGCACCACGGAGTTATGAGGAGTGAGACTGATAAAATCGAACCTGGTGTGAGCTTCTGCAATGTTGAGATTGCGTTTGTGTGATTGATATACTTATCCTAACACGATGATTGCCAGTTTCTATTTAAAATTGCAAAAATTGTAGCAACAGACTTAAATTGATCCAGCACAATGCTGCCATCCAACAGTTGCATTATTGTGTCTGCCTTAAGTGTCAACTTTAGATGTGTGATCCCCTTATTAAGGGCATTCATATTGTGGTGTCCGAATGTCCAAATTAAGAGAAAGAAGCTTTTATTCAAGGTATATCTATAACCGGATTGCATATTTTAACTGGATTTTCGAGTAAAATTTTATCTCACATTGAGGCCTTCAGTGAAATTATAGTTTTTGAATTGCGCTGTAGTTTGTACATTGAAAAACACAGTTACCTAATTTGGAGATCGGTTTAGTGATTTGATGATAATCGTGTATACAGTTGTAGATATCGCACCCCTTCTTGACATCAGTTTGCAAAATCATTGAGCAAAGTCCACAACTTTGTCCAAATCATGGTAAAAGGGGTAGGTTCATTAATCTAATGTTGAAATAAATTAAATATTGCATTTGTACTTTTAGAATATTTTCCTTCTTATCGACTACGCCCTTGGAGATCAAAATACATTTCAACATTATAATTATAATCATAAGTATTCTCTGTTAATTAAGCTTGCATTTCAATATTGCTTACAATTACAGAGTATCGAACCTCAAGTCTTGGAAACCTCTGAATTGATTTATCTTTGCAAAAGAAATATTCACTTGAGGTAATGGCTGTTATATAAATTAAAATAGACATGAATTATATGGCAGCTCAAAATTTTAATAAGCAATGGTTTCAGACAGCGTTGAGTGCATTTGTTTGAGATGCTTGTACCTTAAATGTTTGATATCACTAATTATCGTAAGAATTGAGCTCACTAAAAACACATCGACTCAATGCGTTCTTAGTAACTGACAATTAACATCACTTTAGAATTTATTCCTTGAAGTAGAATAAACTGTTTGAACACGGCCAACTCTTTTGCTTTAACTATTAGAAATTTGTCGTAATGCTTCAATGTAATTGACAGCTAAAATAATGCATTGACGAATAATAATTATTACGTCATTTTCACCAACAAGAAAAACGATTCTTTTAAAATATATATATATATATATATGTAGGTTACGCAGAGTGCTTGTGGGTTGAGTGTATACTCCCAATCTGTGAAGGTGTTTTGCCAAACAATCGTGTCCGGTAAGTAGTCCAAACTCAGCAACGGCTTCGATTCTTGACCAGTCGGGTATGTCAGAGAGTGCCACTGTCCACAGTTTCTCCTTTGTTCAAGCTTTAAATTCGTCCACCTTGAGGTCTGGAATTTTCTCCTGATTAAGGCCTTCATTGTGTGGAAAGACATCGGCCGGTCCATGCATTGCAAAATCGTTGTCCCCTTCTTAACAAATGTGTCAGCAAGCGTATTGCCTTTAATGCCACAGTAACCAGGAATCCATTGTAGGACAACTGTTTTGTTTTTCTCAGCAGCTCATAGAGTTTTCTACATTCCTTTATCTCAGTCTCTCTGTTATACCTTTATTAGCTGTTTTGGGTGGCTCTCTGCTTCCAATTGAGTTTATTCCTCCACTGACCAGGAATTCATTGTAGGACCACTGTTTTGTTATTTTCTCTCTCAGTACTGTGTTTTTCTTTCTCAGCAGCTGATAGAGTTTTCTACATTCTAGTATCTCAGCTGTTTTGGGTGGCTCTCTGTTTCCAATAGAGTCCTCAGCTGTTTTGGGTGTCTCTCTGTTTCCAATAGAGCCTTCAGCTGTTTTGGGTGGCTCTCTGTTTCCACTCGTTTAACTCAGCTGTTTTGGGTGTCTCTCTGTTTCCAATAGAGTCTATTGCTGACTGTGAGTCCGGAAGTATCACCGCTTTGGTGAATTTCGTATCCAGGCAATATTATTGGCATAGTGCTATCCTAATGGCCTCTATTTCTCCTTCGGCATAGTGCTATCCTAATGGCCTCTATTTCTCCTTCAAACATGTGAGTCCACCCTATATTCGTATTTAGGCAACAGAATTGGCATAGTGCTATCCTAATGGGTGTCCAGGCAACATAATTGGCATAGTGCTATCCTAATATCGTTATTGGCATAGTGCTATCCTAATGGCCTCTATTTCTCCTTCGGCATAGTGCTATCCTAATGGCCTCTATTTCTCCTTCAAACATGCGCATTCGTATTTAGGCAACAGAATTGGCATAGTGCTATCCTAATGGGTGTCCAGGCAACATAATTGGCATAGTGCTATCCTAATATCGTTATTGGCATAGTGCTATCCTAATGGCCTCTATTTCTCCTTCGGCATAGTGCTATCCTAATGGCCTCTATTTCTCCTTCAAACATGTGAGTGCTATCCTAATAGCCTCTATTTCTCCTTCAAAAGCGGATCTATTGTGTCCCACTGCCGCGTAGAAATAGAAGAGTTCAGAATAGACAACTGCACCAACGTTTGCTTTATTTTCTATGTATGACCCATCAGTGAAGACTTGGAGGCATTGATGAGAAGAGTTCAGAATAGACACCTGCACCAACGTTTCCTTGGCTTTCCGTGAAGACTTGGAGCCATTGATCTGCAGGATAGTTAACATCACTGGAGCCATTGATCTGCAGGATAGTTGACATTGATTGTCTAGTGATTTCCTGAAAAATGAGTTTTGCAGCCTCAACAGTGCAGACTAGCCATTGATCTGCAGAATAGTTGACATTGATTGTCTCAATTGATTGTCTCAAGGGCCTGTGATTTCCTGAAAAATGATCTCCAGTATAGTTAACATTGATTGTCTCAAGGGCCAGTAAGTTTTGCAGCATCAGTGAAGACTTGGAGCCATTGATCTCCAGGATAGTTCCAGCAGTGAAGACTTGGAGCCATTGATCTGCAGGATAGTTGACCCTCGAGGGGTGTTTGATTTCCTGAAGAAGTCGAGCAGTTGGGTGGAGCACACAACATCAATGTCTGCTAATGGGTTCATGGGGAGAGAGGCTGTTTGGTTTGTCATCGAATTGTAATTCTATGTTCAGTTCTATGGCTTTCTGTATTAGATCATATTGCGTTTTCAGATGTCTTGATCTATTCTCATAGGTTCTAAAAAACTTGTCCATGGGAATGCGCATTAGCTTCTCATAAAGGATCAAGGCCATTTTTTTTATAAGGGAATTTATTGTAGTGCTTCCTGTAACTATGAGCATTGCATCAATTGGTTTCGCCTTTATACCTCCAGTAATAAGTCGTAATGCTTAGGTGTGTGCCTTCTTCAGTGGTTTGAGAGTCAACTCTGTGACTGTACGAGGGGTTTGAGAGTCACCTCTGTGGCTGTTATGAGTGGTCTCCAAACATACAGCATTATTGGCTGAATAAACATCTTGTAAGTGGTGTTGAGAGTTGAGCGTCCACAGCCCCATATGCTGCCAGCAAGACGCTTCAGTACATTCAGTCTATTAAAGACTCAATCTGTTATTTTAGCAATGTGACTTTTCAAGTTAGATGTCGACGTCATTCCGAGATATGTGAACTCATTGGTTTTTTCTATAGTAGAGTCCTTGTACCTTAAAAGCGGGTTTATGCTGTGATGGGCCGAAGAAAATGTTTAGAATGCAGTTTTCGCGGAGCTAATTATCATTCCATTGTTGTCGCACCAGTTTGCTGGTAGAGCACTTTCTGCCCTCTCCTGAGCGTTTTTCTTAAGAGCGGAATATCATAGTTCCAGATCATCTGCATAAAGTAAGGACTTGATGTCCGTGACCGTCTGAACCAATTCGCCTATGTTGTCGATGAAGATATTGAAAAGAGTGCAGCTTGTGACAGCTCCCTGTCAGATATTGAAAAGAGTGCAGCTTGTGACAGCTCCCTGTGGATGGCCTGTTTGTAAAAGATTGGATTTTGATTGAGCATTTACGTATCTGACTTTACACAATCTTTGTATAATGAATTTTTTATCCATTTTAACAAGTTATGCCTTATACCAATCTTCTTTTATCCAGTTTAGCATGTTATGCTTAATACCAATCTTGCCATTTTAGAATTAGCTTCTCTTTCCATACTAAGTCATATGCTTAGAATTAGCTTCTCTTTCCATACTAAGTCATATGCTGACTGAACTTTTCATACTAAGTCATATGCTGATTTGAAATTGACGAAAACAGACTAAGGGTATTTCTTGCATCAAGGGCATCTTTGATGTGTTTGTATGTATTTCTTGCATCAAGGGCATCTTTGATGTGTTGGGAGAAAGTGGCTACTTGTTGGTTCGTTGATCTTTGTGGTCTAAAACCTGCTTGTTTACTCATAACAATATTTTTGGTCTCAAGAAACCAGGTCAGCCTCCTGTTGACCATTCTTTCCATAAGTTTAGCCAGCACACCTGTGAGGGAGATAGGCCTATTGTTGTCAAAGTTGCTAGGGTCTTTCCCCCTTTTTAGTATTGGTATTACTATGGCAAACTTCCATTGGTTAGGTACGAGACTGGTCTCCCAGATTTTTTTGAAATTCGCCAGCATGGTTTCCATGGATTTCGGTCCCATTCTAATGAAAAATTCCGTATAAATACCGTCTTTGCCAGTGGACTTTTTGCAATTAAGCTGTATTATCGCAACATTAAGTTCGCAAGGTCGGAATGGTTCAGTAAGTACATCAACATTAAGTTCGCAAGGTCGGAATGGTTCAGTAAGTACGTTATTTGGCGTTGCTATGTCTTCCTTAATTTCACAAAACTGTCTTACTGGCATCATTAAATCTCTTGAAGATTTTCTGACAAAAGGGTTTTTCTTTTGCTTGTGTTCTGACAAAAGGGTTTTTCTTTTGCTTGTGGGAATAGAAGCTCGCAAAGGCAGTTAGCTATTTCAGAGTCGGTGGTAAGCAGTTTGTTTTTCGTTAGCTATTTCGGTGTCGGTGGTAAGCAATTTGCTGTTTAAACTATTTCGGTGTCGGTGGTAAGCAATTTTCTGTTTAAGCGCATTGATTCTTTCTTGATTATTTCTCTGTTGCTTTGGAGGTTCCTCAGAAATTTTATAGTGCGTTGGCTCTCATTTTGATAGTTGATATTTGAGATGAACTTGTCGAAGCAAGTCCGTTTTGCTTGTTAGATGGCTTGCCTTAGGACAACTGATTGTCGTCTCCAGGCTTCTAGGTCTTTCATTCTTCCAGTGTGATCAGCAGTGTTGCAATGGGCATCCCTTTTTCTTTTCACTTCTCAAGGTGTTTAGACCAAAACACTCGATAGTGTTTAGTCTTGCGTCTTGATAGCAGTGCAAAGTTGGTCAGGATGTTGGTTGAAGTTGAGGGGACTTGTGTTAAGTCCATTGTCTAAAAGGTTAGTGAATCTAGACCAGTCAGGTTATGAAGGTTCCATGATAGCTTAGTTGGCACTTTCCTTGTCATGCTTATGCCATGATAGCTTAGTTGGCACTTTCCATGTTATGCTTTTCCTGCCAATGTTGATACTAGCAATGATTTGTTTGTGACCAGAACCAGGATTGTTAATTATTTTGCGGCGTGTGTGCTTACTGATGTCGCTTGAAGTCAGGAGTAATCATAAGTTGTTCAGGTTCCATTGCAGTGCAAATATGTATCCGGATCTTTATTGTTATAAATACGTTCCAGAGGGTTGCTGTTTAGCATTTCTTCAATTTTCTTTCCCGCCATGTCTGTATCCTCGTAGCGCTATCTGGTGTAATGGGCGTTGAAGTCTCCTAATACTTCAGTTTTGTGTTCGATGTTCAGAAATTCAAAGTTTGGACAATTCTGGGGTGGATTATAACTGCATATATCTTGAAGTGGTTTTGACATTTCCAAACATTTAATCTGATTCTTTCACATTTGTCTTGTGTCGAGCCCATACTCTTGATTAGATCGTAGTGTGAGGTGAGGCCTTCCTTTACACCATTTAGAATTCCACTTGCAACTTGCCGGTATTTAGGTAGATTGTACAGGGTGAAACCTGGGAATTGGTAGTACTTCAGGTTGTCATCCGAAATGTTTGCTTCCATAATTGTGA